GCCATTTCAATCACTACTTAGACTTTAAGGCAACTCACTCTATCTCAGTTGAAGTAGGCTTAGTTAAATGTCTAAGTGATACAATACAAAAGTTGACTAGTAGGACAGAAATCAGACGCATCGAGAATACCTTACCCTTTCAATAATTACCCAGGAAGTCGTATAAGAAATATGAGTAGTAACAATAATACAGGCGTTGGTATTAGTAATTATGATGAAGGAGTGAAGAGAGAATTTTAAAGCCTCTACTATGTTACCATACAAGAAGGCACCTGAGAAGCGTTAAGAAGATTTCTCAAGAAGGCTGAGATTAAATTGGCATTGCAATGATTGTCAAGTTAGATATCATAGGTCAAGGCAGTCGATTAGAATAATAGAGCACAAAAACTAAATCAATATTTGTAGATCATAATATGATAAATTTAGAGAAAAATTTGGCTATAGCTGTACACGCAATTACACACAGTAGGGCAGGATAGAGCGACAATATTAGTTGGATAGAGGGAATGAGAAATAGATAACCGAATCATCATTGTTTATCGAATCAACACCAGATACATGCAGTTAGTAGGAATTAGTGTTCACCTCTTTCACATATATGAAAAATCCTACTACCTAGTATCAAAAAGAAGGTGAGAGGGAATTAGAACTATGTAAACCGTGTTTCAAGGAACTCTGGGAACGAACCAACGAAGCAAGAACGTATCGCTGAACAAATATACAGTGTAAAGAAATGGAGGTGGATTGTATTGGGCATACACTGAGAAGGCCGACTGTGGACATCACGCGTCAGGCCAGTGCCTCAAGTGGAACCCAGATGGGAATCGACCAGTTGGGCATCCTTGGCGAGGGTGACATGTAGGAGACCGTGTGAGGAGGAAATGAAAGGTTTTAGGCTGTCGTGGAGCCAGGTTCAAAAGATTTCAGAGAACAGAGCGCATTGGAGACGTGCTGCTGAAGCCCTATGTTCCATTAGGAACCCAAGGGACAAATAATAAATAATGAAACCGTGTTTCAAAGTTGTGGAGTTAGTTACCTGATATGAATATGAATAATAGTAAATTATGTCCGAAACATTTTTATCTAGTAAATAATACTGTTCCTTCACTGTTGTGTGTGTGTGTGTGTGTGTGTGTGTGTGTGTGTGTGTGCCTAACACATGTAATAAACAGACTAAAATAAAATATTATTTTTGTCTCATTCTTATTCTCTTTTGACGAATTTTTACAACTTTTGATTACTTCCATTTTCATGTCTACATCTTCCATTATGGTGCTGCTGCTTCCTGGACCTAATGAACTGGTATGAAGTGTGTAGCAATTCAAACTGTTCCACAATTATATCAGGACTTCCATAATGATGCTGACTAAGTGAATTGAAGTCGTCGTCATCGTCAGAGTAGTAGCAGTAGCAGTTTGTAGGTTGTGGAGTTTAACTGGACTGAACGTGTGACACCGTGACTAACTAGCCTATGTAATTTACTTGTGTCTAGTGGGCAGCGATAGCTTTACTGCATCGACTGAGGTTTCTACAGTCAGTTAGTAGATAACACTATGGGTGATGTGGCTCATTGTGACGGATGTATGAACTTACCAATAGTTACTGAGCTACATATTCATCTCATTGTTACTAAGTGCTGTTTAAAGCACTCACTTTATTCTAATTTAGGTGCTGACTTATAGATGTTCCATTCATAATAGAAAATACCGGCAATATTGAGGTCTCCGATATGTGACTTATATATGTCAACTTAGACCACTTATTGTATTTACTCACTGAGAAAACATTTACAGAAAACTTCAAAACTTCCCATTGTTGATTGAATTGCCCACTATTTGGCGAATGATTTCATATTTATACAAAGGATGGATAGTAACTAGAAGTGGAATCCATGAAGTGACTTCCGTTTTCTTTGTGTAACCAATCAGGTAGATGTAAACGAAGTAGCCTGAAGTTTGCAGCTATCGCCACTGGGATGAAGTTACAGCCGGAAAACTGTCAGTCACTAGAATCCAGGTACAGCAAGTTGACGAGTCCAAAATAAGACGAAATGGATTCCATTGCTAGTGACTACTCATCCTTAATCATAATAATCAATAATATTAGAAAATTATTATTATTATTCCTCCTTTGAATTCCTATTACAAAATAGGCCTTCAGTAGCACGTCTCCATTTCACTCTCTTCTCTCCAGTCTTTTAAACCTGCCTCCACAACTGCCTACAACATTTCATTTCTGCCTCACATAATCTCTTCCATGTCACCCTCGCCTCGGATGCCCAACTCATCGTTTCCCATTTCGGTTCCAATCGATGGCCTGTCCCAGCCTGGCCTAACGTGTGATGTCTCCAAACCGTCTTCTCAGTGTATGGCCAATCCAATCCAATCGAACTGCACTTTCTTCCTCAACATATATGTTGGGTGATAGGTTGTTGGATAGTTGGTTCGTAGACAGTCAGACACAGTTCCTTGTTACTTATTCCTTCTGGTCTTCTCATCTCCATCTTGAATATGGAGTGAGCGTAGGTGGCAACTGTTGATGAATGTGTGTAGTTAGTTAGAAATGCTTTTGGTAACGCGCCAAGTCTGTCAACGATGACATAGAAGAACTGACGTGACTGACTTGGTGTTGAAAATGCGGATGTTGTTCACGCTTTATGCTGGATGCAGTGCAGTGTGGTGTAGTGTAGTGCAGTATATCTCCACACTGATTATTTCAGATTACTGTGGGAAGGCTTGTCCTGCTGTCTTTCCGATCGTGGCTGCTTTGACGTCCTCCTCAATACCACCTGTGGTTGTAGGGATGCTGTCTAGGTAAGTAGGTAGGTAGGTAGTTAGATGTGGGGTGGTAGGTAGGTAGGTAGGTGTGGGGTGGTAGGTAGGCAGGTAGGTAGGTAGGTGTAAGAGACAACTTCGTTTAGGTTCCTCTCGTTGATGGTAATTGGTGTTTGTTGTTGTTGGTTGGGTACCTTCATCACCTGTCTTCCGTTTTCGGTGCCTCGCCTCCAATGTCAACTTGTTAGTTTTCGCCTGTATACCTTCGAGTTTGTGCAACAACACCATTAGACATAAATCATCATGGGTGAAACCCAAATCATCTCCTAAGGTCTTTTCATCGGTGCAGTCAGCTTATGGCCACCTTCTCGCTCTTCACAGTTTGCTGCTGCTGCATGATCCAGTCGACCACAACACAATCAGGAATATCATGGGTGATAGTAGGCAACCTTGTCTTGTCTTACTCCTGTATTCACTTCATTTCGAAGGCATCACTGAGCTTTCATTGTGAATCACTTGGAATGTAGTATCTATCATATAGCATATAGGTGTTGAATGAGGTTGATAAATGTTTGTGACACTAAGACCGTACGTAGTGTTGAAGCAGTTTCCAAATGACTTGTTGGTTGACGCTGTCGAAGGCCTCTTCAAAGTAGATGAAGTTGAGGTAGAGAGAGAGTTGACTGACATTCTATACTCTGTTCTATGATGATGCGTAGTGTAGCGTTGCAATTTGATCTTCATATGATTTATACTTCCTGAATGCATGCCATCTTTTCGTGTCTGCGGGATGATGCGGCTTAATGTTTTGTTTGGAGTGGACAGGAGGTTGATTCGTGCCAGTTCTTGCAAAGACTTAGGTCTCACTTCTTTAGATATTTGACAAGGTAGGCGTTCTTCGAATCTGCAGGTACCTTTCCTTCCTTCCTTCCTTGGAAACCTTCAGCAATAGTGGTGTGAGCATGTCCGCCATTGTCACTCAACACTGACTTTGATTGATCTAGAATATACTTGGCCAATGTGATATATATTAGCGAAGAAATATTTCTTTTCAGCGACTTCATTATCAAGCTGTACAGTCGTATATATACTGAGTAAAGTGACACATAATTGCACTAAAAAGTTACTCAGTCAATATGCAAAATATACAATCCGTGGAGTGGTGGTGGTATTTGTTCAAGTGGAAGAGATAGACAATGGGTCACTGTGAATAAGGAGGAAGGAATTGATAACAAGTGGTGAGATAAGTGACAAGTACTGTCAAAGAATTGTAAAACAGTGATAATTAAACTGAAACGTGTACAATAGGTCAATGATTAAGGAAATGAATTGATATTAGAGAGTGAAATATGGTCCAAGTGTTGTCAATGAAGTGAAAATTGGCGATAAAAGAAGAGAAGTATACCAAAGTGAAGTGAATTGTTAAAGCCAAGGTATAGAAAGTGTGGTTTCACAAAACATTTTTGAATGCAAAGTTTCAGTTTTCGTTCATGAATAGCTAATGCTTCAGCTGTGCATAAGTAGTGGAAGCGTAAACCTTTAGACTAGTTCAATTTAACTTTGTAAATTATTTTAAAGGATGAATTTCGAGGTGCTGAGTGTCCGAATTCAACAAGGTGTTCATATATAGATGAAGTCGTTTTTCTTTGCTCTCCTCTGGTAAGCCAAACCGGGTAGTGTTCAGCAACATGTTTTCGGAGGGCCCGCTTACAACATCCAATATAGTCAGCTCCACAGCAGCATGTGAACTTGTAGATACACATAGAAGTCAACATAAGTGGAAGCCTATCCTTCATGCATTGACGAATCAGACGGCGGTTGGAGAATATCAATCTCAACCCAGCAGCATAGAAGGTACTATTGATACATCTTGACAGACGATTTTTCAACACTTCCACTGTGATATCTCCTTTGAATTCTAGATTCATAGTTAAACTTTTCTTAGGGAGTGTAATGAAATGGGGAGTGGTTGGTTTCTTCAGATTTTTATCAATAAATCTCTTAGGGTATCCGAAACTCTTACAACTCTTACTGACTAACCTTATTTTCTCATGATGTTATCATTTAAAGTTATAAGTAAAATGATTTTTTGAGTAAATAAGTTAATACAACGAATGAGAATATTTATCTCCTTGTTTAATTTTAGTCATTTTGTAACAGTTAAAATTATTTACATGTATAAGAAAGTTAAGTTGAAAAGTTTTTATTACTCATTTTCTTTTCTAGTGACATTATTTCTAAACTTCAACCAACAGATATACTATTTATAATGGGTGATCATGGAATGACTTTATCAGGTGATCATGGTGGAGATAGTTATAGTGAATTAGAAGCAACTCTTATTGTTTATACTAGTGAATATCATATTTCTTTAAGTGGTAAAGATAGTCTGAAGAGGTCAACAGGTCAACAACAATTATCTCAAATCGATCTTGTGCCTACATTATCATTTTTCACTGGTGTTCCAATACCATATTCAAATTTAGGCATATTATCTAGTGATTTATTAAATGGATATATCAATCTTCACAATGGACTTGTATTAAATTTCATTCAGGTAATACTTTTAATGTAATCATGATTTCTAAATGTTATTACTATTGTAGTCACCAGTTATTTGTCTACACTGTATTAAGTTTCAAACTTTTCAGTAATATAGATGACTATTGTAAGTGTTTGATGATCTCTTTCATTGGTGACACAATGCATATTGATATCAATGGTGTAAATGTATCCACACACATAATGCTCATCTTAATCGTCATTGTAAATTCAGTATTTCTTTTTTTACTCCTCATTTCTCTATTCTACCTACTTTTTATCGATTTTTGTTTATTTGTTGAATGAGGATGGATCTCTGAGACTTAGACTGTTTAGAAGTAGTATTTATCATGGACTGACATCAGTTGACGAACCATTGAAAATCTGGGAGGACTGGACAGCTGTTTCGTCCAACTAGTATGGAACTCCTCAGCAGTAAGCACCCACGACCCGGCTAGGGGTCGAACTCACGGCGAACGCGTTAACCATTCAGCCACTGGGTCAGTCGGTTTTCAGTGGTTCACAATTTCCAACTTCTGTCAGTTCATGACATAGCGTGACTGTCACCTAAGGTCTTCAGTTAGCATCCACTTCACTTCCGCCTGGTTGACCTCACAGGTCATGGCTTCTCATTAGAACTTCCTAGCACCCATCTGGAAGCAAGTCACTAATGAGCACTATAGAGTAATGTATTTTTGAAATGAATGGGGATTTTAAAATACGAAAGATATTGTTATACTTCCAGCAGACAAACGACGCACTACAGTAGTCATAGACAAAGAAGACTATATCAAGAAGGTAGAGAAATTACTGAAAGACGAAAATGTGTATCTACCACTTGGAAACAACCCTATCCAAAAGTTCGACAACCAGATCAATAAAACCTTGAACAAACTCTTCAAAGCAGAAGAAATAACAAAGCAAGACAAATGGCGTATGAAATCGAATGGACCTATCCTTCCTCGATTCTACGGCAGATCAAAACTACACAAACCCGTTATGTCTCCACGACCAATAGTCTCACTTCCAGGAACTCCAACATACAACATATCAAGAGAACTTTTGAGAAAACTGAAACACCTTATCCAATCATGCGGACATTCCATCAAGTCACCAACAGAATTCTTAGAAAAGATCAAAAATATTAACATAGAAAACGATGAGTTATTGATATCCTTCGATGTTACAGCACTATACACATCCATCGAACCTCAATTAGCCAAGGAAACGATATCCCTCTTGATCAGTGAAGACAGAAACCTTTCAGAAAGCACAAAACTCAAATGTTCAAGTCTGATGGAACTCATCGACCCCATTGTATGACAACATACTTCCAATCCAACGATAAGATATACAAACAGACAAAAGGAACTCCAATGGGATCACCGATATCCGGATTAATAGCAGAAGCAGTGATGCAGAGATTGGAAGCCACTATTCTACCTGTGATCAAACCAAAAATTTGAATTCGCTATGTAGACGACACTTTTGTCATCATTAAAAAGGAGATGATATAGAAAACACCCACAGTTTGATCAACAACGTTTTCAATGACATCAAATTCACAATGGAGAAAGAATCAAACAACCAACTACCATTCCTGGATGTTTTAGTCAGTAGGACAAATGCCGCAAAGCTGGAAACCCGAGTGTACAGGAAGCCAACACATACTGACCAAGACCCCAACTACAATAGCAACAACCCAACAACACAAAATCAGTTGCATGCAGACTCTATTCAAAAGAGCTAGAACACACTACAGCACAACAACTTCATGGAGAAGGGAAGAAAATTACTTGATATCCACCCTAAAGAAGAACAGCTACCCGCGAAAGTTTATCACAAGGTGCCTATGCCGTGCATCACCAACTATGAAGTCATCGACAGAAATCAACAGACGCATCGTCCTACCATACATAAAGAATACTGTCAGAAATCACGACAAGATTACTGAAACCACTTGGAATTGGTGTGGCTCATAAACCAACAAATTCCCTCCAAACACTATTATGCAGACCAAAGGGGGAGCAACAACCAAAGAAGACAAACCGAGCATCGTTTACATAATCAACTGCAATGACTGTAGTCAGCACTACATTGGACAAAGCGTCCACCCTCTTCGCCTTCGTCTACATGAGCACCAATTGGCTATTAAACGCCACGACATTTAATCGTTGCTCATTTCAATGCACGTGGAAAATTATGGACATGAATTGGATTTCGACAATGTAGAAATTTCGGGCAGAGGAAACACAAAGAATGTCAGATAATTTCTAGAAGCTTGTCATTCAGGTCAGTCAATCAGTCAGCAATCAATAGATGTATAGACATAGACCCGATCTATTGACCGATAAGAAACATGATAAACAACAGAAAGGTCAGAGGTGAAGCAGTGGAACAGACTACAGAAAACTGTATACAATCAATGACGCAACGATCAAAGGAAACAACTAATCACAGACCACATCGTCAGAGCAAGCTACTAAATCACTCACGGAGAGATATTGACAGCTCACTCACTTCATACTGAAGTTAGTCCTGATGATGTCACTGTCTAAAAAGACGATGAAAACTTCATGATTAAACAATCCAGCTCCTCAGAGAACATAATACAACCAAGACCATCCACATGAGCTACAAATATTCTCCATCATAGCATTAAATTTACGATGAAATGGGAAGAAAAGTAGCAGCTACATTTTTCTCGACTTATGTTTCACATGTAATGATGACGATACAACAGAAAGGAGGATTTATTGCAAAACTACATGAAGCCTTCCCACAGTAATCTGAAATAATCAGTGTGGAGATATACTGCACTACACTACACCACACTGCACTGCATCCAGCATAAAGCGTGAACAACATCCGCATTTTCAACACCAAGTCAGTCACGTCAGTTCTTCTATGTCATCGTTGACAGACTTGGCGCGTTACCAAAAGCATTTCTAACTAACTACACACATTCATCAACAGTTGCCACCTACGCTCACTCCATATTCAAGATGGAGATGAGAAGGCCAGAAGGAATAAGTAACAAGGAACTGTGTCTGACTGTCTACGAACCAACTATCCAACAACCTATCACCCAACATATATGTTGAGGAAGAAAGTGCAGTTCGATTGGATTGGATTGGCCATACACTGAGAAGACGGTTTGGAGACATCACACGTTAGGCCAGGCTGGGACAGGCCATCGATTGGAACCGAAATGGGAAACGATGAGTTGGGCATCCGAGGCGAGGGTGACATGGAAGAGATTATGTGAGGCAGAAATGAAATGTTGTAGGCAGTTGTGGAGGCAGGTTTAAAAGACTGGAGAGAAGAGAGTGAAATGGAGACGTGCTACTGAAGCCCTATGTTCCACTAGGAACTCGAGGGACAAATAATAATAATAATAATCATTGCGCAGGAAAACTGGTTCCGTGACCTAGGAAGTGCACTGCTTCGAACCCTGTTTTTCACATCCTATTATTGTAAATAACTACTCGGATAGTCAGGTTGAGGAGCACAGTCACACTTAACGATTAACGGTCAACATTTACTACATTTCTTGACTTGAAGTCGACCTTCTACTCTATCAACTGTGATGTACTGTGGTAGTGTCTCACTGTGAAGAGGGTACCGAGCAAGTATATAAAGCTAATAAAAGGTTGTAAGGGCTTATGGAGAGTAATCATCACAAGTGACGACCAGTATTACTCAAGGAAGGCAAATCAACCAATGAACCATCAGCGACTGGGATGACTTCAACATGTGTCGCTCATGCCTAGCCCCCACCTACCTCGATGTTAAATGCTTCGAGGAATTGGATAAGGTTGGAAGAAGGTTACGAGTGGGCATCGAGTGGAACCGAAATGGGAAACAATGAGTTGGTCATCCGAGGCGAGGGTAACATGGAGGAGATGGTATGTTAGGAAGAAATGAAAGGTTGTAGGCAGTTGTGAAGGCAGGTTCAAAAGACTGGAGAGAAGAGATTGAACTTAACGTGATAACTCAGATGAAGTTGAATAAAAATCTGAAAAAGTTTAAAGTGTTAATACAAAGCTACTTAATATGGATTAAGTAGTCACACATTTTTCATCAAAATTTTTAATTTTTTTTTCAGATGTTTACATACACTGCCAATTATTACTACAATATAAGTGAATTACCATTATCTTCAAAACTATTTATGTATATGAATAAATTATTATTAGAGAATAGAAATTTTCGTTGGATTGAAGAAATGAATTATGAACAATTATTGACTAGTCTTAAAGAATTACAATCAATATTTCGCAATCATTGGACTCAATTCAATGAAATAAGCATGTTATTCGGTGTTATTCTTATCACATATAGTTTAATCCTACTTTTATTATGTATTGAATATATTCATCAATGTAGACATTCTTTGTACACATGTAATCTATCATTATGTGGAGCTTCTATCTTATCATTAATTTGTATACACTTACATAATTCTTATTGTTTAGTATATATTTTTATTATTGTCTTGGTATTATTACCAATATTCTTCATATTTATACAGTATATATATAATCTGATTTCTTTATTTACATTGAATAGTGGTACATCAATAGGCTTCATGTTAATATTCTTATTATCTTTAAGTTATTTTTCAAATAGTCTACTTATTCATGAATTTCATATCACATTTTACTTTATTCAGAGCTTTCTTATTACTCATCTTATTTACACCTTTGTTTATACTTATAGTTTTCATGGTAATGATTATACTACTCATGATCGTAGTAGTAGTATTGTGAAGTACATCCGAAAAATCATTTCCTTTCTTCATCATCTTTCAACTTCATCATCTATTGTGTTTATTTCACTTCTTTTGATAGTATTTCGTTTGTTTATCTGGCACTTATTGATTTGTCGTGAAGAATTGATGCTTACTTCTTCGATATGTCGGTCTACGCTTGATCCATGGATCAGTAAATCATTGAGTAGATTGAATCCTATGAACGAATTTTATCCAATCGGTGTATTACGTGTTTATTTTACTATTTGTATATTAATCTTTTGTCTATACAATATTTACTGGTTAGAGTTAAAGATTAGGGATCGAAGTGAATTGATGGATATTTGTAGGCTAAACAATCCATTCTGGTTATTTACTCTAATTGGCGGTTGTCTCGCCTTGTTGTGGCTAGTGGATTCTGCTAAGTCAGTCAACTGGATTGGATTTATACCAACTAATCGATTGTAAGTTGCTTTCTTTTTTTTTCCCTATTGTGTTGCATAATTTTGTCTGTCATACATCGTCGTTTCATCACACAATATAGGAGAGTTGCGGAATAAATCAATTTTTTGACTCCTCAGCAGTGCTTACTCTTGACCCTGCCAAAGATTCTCTTTAACTTTCCAAAAAACATGCAAAATCAACTACTTACCCTCCACCTTTCATTACTGACATGCTTTGAGATGAGATTTCCGGGAGTTGTGACCGGCAGAGCAAACTAAGTTCGACATTGGATGAAGGTTACGCTATATCGCCAGTTAACATAAGTAGAAAGATATGGACCGTTTTGTCCTAACCCACTACACCAGTGGTGAGGTGCTAGCTTCGAAACCTGAAGGTCCTGGGCTAGATGATATAGTGAATGCACATTACTGCTGAGTCCCATACTGGGATGAAACATATGTCCAGTACTTCTTGATGACCACTACATTAAAGTAGTATACTTATGACTGGTCATATGAACGCACGGAATCACTTTTCATCACAAGTACAAAATATCACGTTATATCTGTATATGTCCATATAAATAATCTAATCTTACAGTTCAATCGCTGCTCACTAGTGACGTCACTGACTGCAACTATGATAATGCGTAGCGTAGCATGAATTGCAACATTGGGTGTGGTGGGTTCAAGTTTCAAGGGAGATATCAGTCCTCTCTCGAGGTTGAAGATATGCCTTGCACGAAGACTAGATCGAGCACAGCTTCCACCCTACTGCATCCAATCAACTAACTACTACTACTACTACTACTACTACTACTACTACTACTACTACTACTACTACTACTACTACTACTAGTTGCTCTCTTCTTCCCTCCTTCCCACCCTTCTCTCTCCCTCTCTCTCTTAGTTAAAGAGTAAAGGGTGTTACCTAGACTGATATGGTGGGAGTCTCTGCTTATAAGGACTGAAACTATGTTTTAACTTCAAATTTCAACTTCCTGCTCTCTCCCTTTCGCTTTAGAATATATCACTTTCGTTTTCGTATACTAGAGAATAAGTCGTGACTAATTCTGTGAAGTCGAATGATACTTCCTGATTACATAAACCTCGGAAGGTGTGTAATTTGGTTTGTGAACCTCTGACCTGTCAGTTCAATGTCGACTGCACACGTACATTAACCAGTCAACTTTGAGGTTTGTGAGGGGAGAGGGGTATTGATTTATTGATTTCACGTTGGTATCCATCATGAACTGATATCAATTGGGAAAACATTGGAAACCTAAGAGCACTGAACAGTTGTTTCGTTCTAGCAGTGTGCACCCATGACCCTAATGGGGACAGTTACTCAACGACCACATTGGTTGGAGGTCATGCTATATCGTGAGCTGACAGAAGTAAGAAGTATGGACCATTGGATTTTGACACAGTGGGTCAATGGTAACTTTCTGGCTCGATCCCTGGCAGCGTGGGCTGTTAGGTGCGCACAGCGGAGGAGTTTCATACTAGGACGAAAGAGGGTTCTCCAATGCTCCCAGGCTTCCAATATTCCTCCAACTGATGTCAGTTCATGATGAATGCCAACTTGAAATCGATAGTAATAAGTAGTATAAATGATATCTCTTGATATAAAATCTTTGTTTACTAATGTTCATTGTGCTGTTGAAACTGTGAAGAGCTAATAGAACAGAAAACAAATACATGGATGCCTATTAACGATTCAAATGAGTTGTTGATCAAGTGCACGGTGAATGTTCAATTCTTGTTCAATAACAGAATGTACAGGCAACTCGATGAAGTAGAGATGAGATCCTCACCAGGCTGTACGTTTATTGATTTACGTTTAGGAAAATTTGAAAATTAACCTCCGAAGAATGACATTTTCAGTCTAGGTTTGCATTAGAATAATCAATTTGCAAGTTGTTGTAAAAATTGCTGCACGATCCACCTTGATATTTTTCATACAACTGAGTAGTTTTTCAACTACTAAACAACTGCGGTGCCATTTAATAGGATTTCTATTGGAAACTACTCACCAATCAAAATCATACGGCATAATCTGTAACACAAAAGTATCATTAAATAGTGAAAACTATTACTAGTGGACAACTTGATTTAGATGATGTGAACTAATTCGGTCCTGTGAGTTGAATTCGTCTGCGTACACTACTGATGATCTGCCGCTTCCTGAAACGAGAGAAACAACTATCCCATGGTTACATCTTTCTGATCTGGGTACCCGGCGAAATTTATACATCAGCAGCCTGATTGGTCTCTAACTACTTAGGTTGTTTAATAGTAGTATCTTTTGATATATCTGTATTATCGTTATATGGATGATTCGATCGTCAACTGCTTAAATAACGTCTATCCATCACTTCACTTTGTATACAGATGGAAAAGTAATAATTCTCTTCATTTCCTTATTGTCCTACTGACAAGAAGAGCAGAGATAACTTTAGTCGACTAGAAAACTGACTAGTCAATCCAAAGACGTAAAGAAGGAACTGAAGCACATAAAAAAAAACGCCATTAGTTAGTTTATTGAAGAAATTATTACGAACATACAAGATACGAAACAATAACAATAACACGAGTATGAATAATCACGACAACATGAGTAGAAAGGAGTTCACACTCTTCATTGTGCTACCCTATAAGGAAGGTACATCAGAAACTTTACGTAAGATTGTCAACAAGGCTAGAATTAAGACGGCATTTAAGCCTACGAACTCATTCAGAGATAAGCTTTGTCGACTAGCTTAAGGATCTGATAGAACCAATTAAACAAAATAATCTAATCTGCTGGATGCCATCCAACGACTGTGAGTCAGGTCAAGTACGTGGGTCAAACTAGCCGGTTGGGGTCAGTGAGAAAAGCGGAATATAAGAATTTAGCTAAATATAGAATGATGGACTCGAATAAGATCAATAATCTAAGGAAAAACTCCTATATTCCAATGTATTTATCAATATACAACCACATACAATACTGTGGGATAAAATCACTGTACTTAAGTTGAATACACTTAGTTGGAAAGATAGATAGATTGATCATTGAATCTTACTTCATTAAGTCTACACCCAACACCATGTGTAATAGGAATGACAGTTTACCGTAGACTTCTCACCTCATCCAGAACAGATATAAACAATCGAATTGTAATTATATAATTTCATATACATTCCAAAAGACATTCACCGCAAATCTGACTGTTAATACGTTAACAAATTTGATTTTATTATAACTGTAGAACCTGACGAGACAGAGAAAATCTACATATAATCTCGCACTAAAGTTTATCACTTCATAGTAGTATACAAAGAAGTAATGGATATCAAAGTTCACATTCAAGTTTTACAAGAGATTAAAGAGTGAGAATACATCATCATTTTGACCTATTGATGCTTAACCATGTCACCAAGAGCCACTATTTTCTATCGTCTCAGAGACTACAGAAAGATAGTCTACATATACCCACACAGTACAAACCGACAGTCAATGACTGCATGCACTGGTGCCATGTGTAGATGTGGCCATTCTGAACTCTAATGCAACTTCCTCTAGGATGACATTACTAGTTGTCATCATTTCTAATGACAACTCTCCATAATCTCTTACACCCTTGGGTTAATTCGAGTAGATAGCTTTGATAAGCGTTATATACTTGCTCTGTACGCTCTTCACAGTGAGATACTACCATAACACATCACAGTGAACATAGTGGAATGCCGCCTTCAAGTCAAGAAATATGTCTTGTGTTGGTCACCTGTATATATATATATATATATATATATATATATATATATATATATATATATATATATATATATATATATAGAGGGAGTTGTGGAGATTTGGAATTATTTCAAGTTGTTATTCATCGTAGACTGACATCAGTTGGAGGAACAAAGGAAACCTGCGAGCACTGGACAGCTGTTTCGTCCTAGTATGGGACTGTTGGTGGGGTCGTGGGTGCGCACTGCTGAGGAGTTCCATACTAGTTGGACGAAACAGCTGTCCAGTGCTCCCAGGTTTCCTTTGTTCCTCCAACTGATGTCAGTTTACGATGAATAACAACTTGATATATATATGTTTATGTGTTCCTGAACCTGTTGGAGGTTAAAAATTTGATCGATACATCCTCGTGCAGGTGTGAAAGCTGCCTGAAGAGTAAACCGTCAATTGTTGCTGCTTTGCATCATTTCAGATTAGAAACAGTTTTCTTTCAACTTCGATGAGAGTTAAAGCATATCCTATTGGATGTTGGGCAACCGAAGAGTTGCTGGTGACCAATTGAACTATGCTTCAATATATATTCCACCTAACCTTCTAACCGTCTGTCTTGAATATTCTTAATTCATATAATATTATGAAATAAGAATTTTTAAATATCTCTAAAATTATAACATTCCATTTACTTTTATAGACATACAGTAAGAATTTGGATTGCACGTATCCTCTTGATAACTATCTCGTGTACATTTATTCAACTGATGAAATCACCCTTCAAATTAATCCATCTCACAGCATATACACAATTCAATGAATCCATTCAAAGACAAATACGACGAAACAAAAGTATACTTCATCTATATACAGTGCTAGCCGTAACTTGTCTGACAGTTCTACCATTACTTTCTCTCTTAGTCTTCATTAATGAATTTCATATCATTTGGTTAGCTCTAATCACATCTGTTCACCTGTTACTATCGCCATTGAAACATTCAATAACTGATATAACGACAGAATATAAAGACCAAAATAGTGAAGGTAACTTGCTGATTTTTTTTTGTATCCTATTTGAAGTAATTCAATGAAATCATAAAACACTTGAATTGTTCTCCATGAGTATCTACTTCATACTTTACTCAGCCACGAAAATATTTGCATATAAAGACTGACCTGTGACTGTGAACCGTAGACAGCTTATTTTGACCAACAGTTTTCATGAACATACAAAACCATTACTTCCCAAGTTAAATACTTTATTCTAATTGGTCAGTCATTGAATAAAATTGTCCATTAACGTTTTACATGACCACACAGTGACATAAAATAGAAATTGAAGTCTACTTAGGTGACTAAAGACTTCTAAAATGTTGGTTTCCATTTTGAGCCGCTTCGTCTAGTTCATTTTGTTTAAAAAAGACTGAATATTCGCTTGGTTAACTAGTTCACTAGTTACTAGCCGGTCCTAAACCCTCATAAAGAGGGAAGGTTGAGCATAGAGCTAGCAACAATACACCAAAAAATAAATCCAATCGCTGATAAAACTACAAACCACAAAATAAATATAAAAAATAAGATTAAACTGATTCCCCGATGGAATCGCAGACACTGAATAACGCCGGTTAGTGGGAGACCTCAGGAAGTCAGTCGGCCAATACGTCTTCTACCAATGAAAGCGAAAGTAAGAATGGGGACATGTAATGTCCACACAATGTGTGAACCTACCAAGGATGTCCAGATTGCAAAAGAGATGAGGAGGTATGGCACAACTCTTAACTCGAGAGTCAATAATCTACTCCGATATTCTCACCAACACGACAAACACAAGCACACTGAATTTCCCAGTGGTTATCATGTTGTCCCCTCCAAGTCCATCAAAGGCTCTCATGCACTGGCAACCAATCTCCTCAACCATCAACATCATAACAGCAACATTCAAATCAAAAGGAATTAAAGTCACAATCATACAATGCTACGCTACACTACGCTACACCGTGCACCTACAAATAATGCAGATGAAGAGAAGAAGGAGGAATTCTACAGTCAACTACAATCAGTACAAAACAACACCCCACCTCAGTTGGCCACATCAAATGCATTCTAATCGGTGGGGTGACATAAATGCCAAACTCGGCGTCGACAACACAACAACAGAACTCACCATGAATCGAGAGACACTCGGTGAAATCAATGAGAATGAAGAACTGTTTGTAGACTTATGCACATTCAACGATTCGGTGATTCGAGTCACTATGTACAAACACAAGGATATTCACAAAGTGACCGACATGGATTTCACCAGACACCAGGACACACTAAACATCACATAGACTTCATCTGAATATGCAGAAAGTTGAGTGAGATGCAGCCAGCCTACTGGACACAAGATGAAGAAGAGGAGGATATGTAGGTTTACACCACTATCTAGTATGTAGTGCAAGGAACCTTCGAAATCGAGTTGCAAGCCTTGAAAGAAGCCGGTGGTGATAGACGACCACAGTTCAAGTTGAACACTGAGAGCAGAAAGTGAACTGAAGGACGAAAGTGCAGAGGAGAGAACATCTTCACGTCAGTCATCAGTCATGATGAAGAAATGGGAGACATTGAACAACATCTGCAAGGAAACCTGAGTGGAAGAACACTGGAAGTCTTTGAAAGAGATGTGGAAGGAAGGCTGCTGGGCCGCGTTAGGAAGGAAGAGGAGGTAAGACAAGGAATGGATCTGGATGGACACATGGAAGCTGATAGAGGAGGGAGAGGAAGATGGTGAAGCAGAAGATGAACTAGTGGAGCTCAATGCAGGGATGAACAAGGAAAAGAGGAACTGAACACAACCTATAAAACACTACACTGGACAAAGAAGTGAATAAGAGTGCGCGGAAACACAAAAGACACTTCTACGATACACTGGCAAGTGGAGCAGAACACGCTGCAGATAGGAGAGACCTGACAACACTATATCAAATAACCAGGGTACTATCTGGGAAGAGACCAAGTCAGATGACACCAATGAAACATAATGAAGGGAACCTAGTTACTCAAGAGGAGAAAGAAAAGTAACAAATGGGATGACAACTTCTAAAAACTCTTCAATCCATCACCACATACAACTCCTCCACGAATACCACCAATAGCTCAGACACAAAACTACCAGTGAACACAACACCCCATCCCCACCAAGAAACCAGAAGTACTTAACGCCATAAAGTTACTGGGATCCGGGAAAGCAGAAGGACCAGATGGAGTTCCTCCAGAAGCACTGAAAATTGAAGCATAGACAACAGTGGACATGCTCACACCACTATTGCTGAAGATTTCCAAGGAAGGAAGGAAGGAAGGAAATGTACCTGGCGATTGGAAGAACGGTTACGTTGTCAAACATCTAAAGAAGTGAGACCTAAGCCTTAGCGAGAACTGACGTGGAATCATGCTCCTGTCCACCCAATGCAAGCAAACTATTATGCCGCATCATGCTGAAGATGCTCTGGATTCTAAACTACAATTGGAACAGGTTGGCTGGCTGGCTGGATTCAGGAAGTATAAGTCATATGAAGATCAAATTGCAACGCTACACTACGCATCATCATAGAACAGAGTATAGAATGTCAGTGAACAGTCTACTTCAACTTTATCGACTTTGAAGAGGCCTTCGATAGCGTCAACCAACAAGTCATTTGGAAACTGCTTCAACACTACGTACGGTCTTAGTGTCACAAACATTTATCAACCTCATTCAACACCTATATGCTATATGATAGATACTACATTCCAAGTGATTCACAATGAAAGCTCAGTGATGCCTTCGAAATGAAGTGAATACAGGAGTAAGACAAGACAAGGTTGCCTACTATCACCCATGATATTCCTGATTGTGTTGTGGTCGACTGGATCATGCAGCAGCAGCAAACTGTGAAGAGCGAGAAGGTGGCCATAAGCTGACTGCACCGATGAAAAGACCTTAGGAGATGATTTGGGTTTCACCCATGATGATTTATGTCTAATGGTGTTGTTGCACAAACTCGAAGGTATACAGGCGAAAACTAACAAGTTGACATTGGAGGCGAGGCAGCGAAAACGGGACTTTTTGCAGGTGAATGTCGAGAAGACAGAGTTAGAGGTGTTGAAGATACCCAACTATCAACAGCATGAACAAGAAGCAGCAATCAGCATTAACGGGAGAAACCTAAAGTAAGTAGTCTCTTTCATCTACGTACCTACATACCTACCACCCCACACCTAACTACCTAGTCAGCCACATTTGAACTATAGGCGACACAGACAAGCATGTCAAAACTAGGATCGGAAAGACAGCAAGACAGGCTTTCACTAATCTGAAATAATCAGTGTGAAGATCGACTGCACTCCACTCAGCATAAAGGGTGAACAAAATCCGGATCTTGAAGACGAATTGAGTCAAGTAACTCAGTGCTTGCTTCTATGTGATGGTTGAGAAACTTGGCGTGTCATGAAAAGCATTTCGAACAAGCTAAAGATACATGTCATCAACAGCTGCTGCCTAAGCTGGCTGGATACTGAAGATCAGATGGCTAGAATAACAGGAATAAGGAAGAAGGAACTCTGGCTGACTGTAGTTTTCGGCATGGTCAACTTAATGACTGGCTGCCTAATTTGTTCTCCTACTACGGTACTCTTCAGCAGCGCGTACCCATGACCCAGCAGCACTACGCAAGGCGTTCAATTCAATGTGAACATGTTTGATCCGCTTTTTTTCTGTGATTCGCATTGACGGAATTTTAACCAGATCTTACCATCGACACACTGTAGGACAAGGTGGACAATGTCTCCGCCTTCGAATTAACGTGCCTTACATCTACTGTGTAAGGGCTTCAAATTTAGGAAAGTGGTGGGTAGTATAACTCTATCTTCTTGACTCCACCATTTATTTGAGTGAGAAGGAAATCTATTGGACCTGAACATTTACTTCTACTTAACAACTTAAGTATTGAGAAAACACTCAATCTCTACTCTGTAAATTTCTCTGGGTGGTCAGTTCAGAGTGATCGATTCACCGGACAGCCGCTTTCTACCGCGGCAGTTCATCAACAGTGTACCCAAACAAATTGAGCTCTCATAATGAATCTAGCTAACTGAGTAGAATGGTCGTCCGGTGTTTAGATCACTCTGATCGTTTGACTAGTTGACGAAATCTAAACATCAGTCTGAAAACCTAATCAACACTGTATGAAAGAAATGTCGATGTAGAGTGTAGATTAACTTGTAAATCATTTACAAATTGACTCTGAACATAGACACCTAATTCTTCAACATTCCCTATTACCTCTTTTGCATATTTCTTATTTCATCAGACTCAATGTTACTATTCTATGTGCCGAAAGAAACTATCTCATGGAAGTTTGCAGTATTTTTATGCTTACTAGACAATTTATCATTTTTTTTGACTGGACATCAGACAACATTATCAAGTATTCCATGGGATGCTGCTTATGCTGTCTATGAAGGTGATCATAATACACATTGGCTACCAACAATCACAGTCTTATTACATTTATACTCTGGTCCAATAATAATTGCTTTCAGTTTACCAGTCATCATTATCATTGGTTTACAAGTGAAGCGAACTCAAAGATCAGAGACCTATTCAAATGTCAATGGGTGTCAAATGACTGTTTATTATCGATTTATTGATGCATTGAGTTTATTAATGTGGCGATTTTTTATTTGTAAATGTTTACTGGTAAGTTGATTATTGATCGATTGGTATTTTATTTCTTTTTTGTAACCGTCAATTGGTTTTGTTCACGTTGATTGTTGTATGTAGCAGGAAAGTTATCAGTTTTTGTGGTTAAACTAAATACTTTCAGCAATCTTGTTCACATACATTCGTGCTGTAGACAATCATACCTAGAAGACTTGGATTTCGCTGATGATGACTTGTGTCTGATGTCACATAAACTTGAAGATCTACAGGCAAAAACTAACAAGTTGACAGAAGAGGCAGTGAAGAGGGGACTTCAAGTAAATATAGAGAAGACAGAGGTGATGAAGATACCGCACCACCACCACCACCACCAACAACAACAACAAACTCCAGTCACCAACAACGGGAGAAACTTAAAGGAAGTAACCTCCTTCACCATATCTAGGAAGCACTGTTTAAACTACAGGCGGGACAGGCACAGACGACGATGTCAAAGTCAGAATCGGAAAAGCAAGACAGGCGTTCATTAGCCTGAAACCAGTGTGGAGATCTTCTGCACTTTTTTCAGCATGTGGAACAAGATCCGGATTTTCAACACCAATTCAGTCAAGTCAGTGCTTCTGTTTTATGGTTGAAAGACTTGGCGCGTTACGAAAGGGATTTCCAATAAACTACAGACATTCATCAACAACTGCTTACGCTGGCTCGCTACTGAAGATCAGATGGATTGCCAGAATAATGAGAATAAGCAGCAAGGAACTCTGGCTGGGAACGAACCAACGAAGCAAGAATTTATCACGCAACAAATATGCAGTGGGAGGAAGTGGAGATGGATTGGGCATGCACTGAGAAGGCCGACTGAGGACATCACGCGTCCGGCTTTTTCAGTCGCTCAAGTGGAATCCCCATAGGAAGCGATGAGTTGGGCGTCGTTGGGGAGGGTGACATGGAGGAGGTCGTGCGAGGAGGAAATGAGAGCTTGTGGGCTGTCGTGGAACCAGGTTGAAAAGATCTCAGAGAACAGAGGTCACTGGAGACGTGCTAGTGAAGCTCTATGTTCCATTAGGAACCCAAGGGACTAATAATAATGATAATAATAATAATAATAATAATAATAATAATAATAATAATAATGTGGAGTTTTGCTGATGTTTAGCTATATTTCCACGACGAGCTTTATCAGCTGAACGCCAGACAAGAGGGAAAGCATAACTTTCAGTTTCTCTGGCTGGATAAACTGTATGGAAATAATGGGAAGGGTCAGTCAGGACAAGTTTAATTAAACTGAGACTTGAGGTGTTACCATGGTGGATAAGTCTTCGGTAAAAAGGAAAACAATATAATCCACTATTCTGAGATTCTAATCTGTCCTTTCCCTGATGTCTATGAAGCTCAAGATGAGAAGAGTGTCGTGGTTAATTGGCTCTAATTCTGCATACTCATCTTAGTCGGTAAGCATAACTGAATGGCAAATGGACATCAGTTCATATGTTCAGCAAATATAACCCTGATCTGTGTGAGGAAGATCATCTTGAGATCTACATGACAAGTGGAAGTGGTGATTGAAAACTCTACATGATATGGGAGTGAATCAATCTCATTGGTACAGATTTATCTATCTATCAACATATCTTCTCTTATCATAACGATTATACATCGTACTTATCTAGTTACTTTAACACACTGTTCTGTTTTTCTAATGACTTTCTACTTCATTTCTTGACATGGAATTGTGGCTCATTGGTTTGAAGGAATTGACTTTCAACCAAGCGGGTCACAACTTCGAACCCCGCGTCCCACCGACTAAGGTTTGGGTAACAAGCTAGTAGTTAGCTACATATACAATTACTATTATTATTATTATTATTATTAGTCCCTTGGGTTCCTAATGGAACATAGAGCTTCACTAGCACGTCTCCAGTGACCTCTGTTCTCTGAGATCTTTTGAACCTGGTTCCACAACAGCCCACAACCTCTCATTTCTTCCTCGCACGACCTCCTCCATGTCACCCTCACCCAAGACGTCCAACTCGTCGCTTCCCATGGGGATTCCACTCGAGACACTGGCCTAGCCTGACGCGTGATGTCCCCAGTCGGCCTTTTCAGTGTATGCCAAATCCATCTCCACTTCCTCCCACTGCATATTTGTTGCGTGATAGGTTCTTGCTTCGTTGGTTCGTTCCCAGCCAGAGTTCCATGTTGCTTATTCTCATTATTCTGGCAATCCATCTGATCTTCAGTAGCGAGCCAGCGTAAGCAGTTGTTGATGAATGTGTGTAGTTTATTGGAAATCCCTTTCGTGACGCGCCAAGTCTCTCAACCATCACACAGAAGCACTGACTTGACTGAATTGGTGTTGAAAATCCGGATGTTGTTCCACATGCTGAGTGCAGTGCAGAAGATCTCCACACTGGTTTCGGGTTAATGAACACCTCTCTTGCTTTTCCGATTCTGACTTTGACTTCCTCGTCTGTGGCTGTACCACCTGTACTTGAAACAGTGCTTCCTAGATAAGTGGTGAAGGAGGTTACTTCCTTTAAGTTTCTCCCGTTGACGGTGATTGGAGTTTGTTGTTGTTGTTGTGGTGGTGGTGGTGGTGGTGCGGTATCTTCATCACCTCTGTCTTCTCTATATTCACTTGAAGTCCCATCTTCGCTGCCTCTTCTGTCAACTTGTTAGTTTTTGCCTGTAGATCTTCAAGTTTATGTGACATCAGACACAAGTCATCATCGGCGAAATCCAAGTCTTCTAGGTTCTTTTCCGCAGTCCAGTGTATCCCCCTCTTCTCGCTCCCCACTGTTTGCTACATGATCCAGTCCACCACAATCAGGAGTATCATGGGGGATAGTAGGCAACCTTGTTTCACTCCTGTCTTCACTTCGAAAGCATCACTGAGCTTCCCATTGTGAATTACTTGGCATGTGGCATCTTCATATAGTTGTTGAATGAGGCGGAGAAGGGTTTGCGGTACTCCGTAGTGTTGAAACAGTTTCCAAATTTCATCTCGGTTGACGCTGTCAAAGGCCTTCTCAAAGTAGATGAAGTTGAGGTAGAGAGATGACTGCCATTCCATACTCTGTTCAATGATGATGCGAAGCGTTGCAATTTGGTCCGCACATGATTTGTACTTCCTGAAGCCTGCCTGTTCCGGTCGTAGTTTTGAATGCAGTGCATCCTATAGCCTCTCCAGGATGATGCGGCTTAGTATTTTGCTTGGAGTGGACAGGAGAGTGATTCCACGCCGGTTCTTGCAAACACTGAGGTCTCCCTTCTCCGGGAGTTTGACAAGGTAACCCTTCTTCCAATCAACAGGTACCTTCTCTTTCTTCCCCACCTTCTGCAATAGTGGTGTGGTGTGAGCATGTCCGCTGTTGAAAATTCCATATACCCAGCAACAATTTATCCATTTGCAAATTACCTCCTGTTCTGCATGTTATTCAGCTGACATTTTGTATTATCATGAGATATTGTAAATTCATTTTGTCTGATTTCTCACCAATTCATTGTTATCACTTCCCGAATTGCTATATACACTACTTATAAGTAGCTTCTCATAAGTAGCTCTGACTCTACTCTAGGTAAAGTTACTCATTACAAACAATTTTAGTCGATGTTTGTATGTGTGACTGACTGATAGCACAAATCACATGGATAATACACACTAGTCTAATGATCAAGTGTCAAGTGATGTCGAGCAGGCTAACCACATCTGACGAATCCCTGTGTAAATTGTGCATAGAAGACGTTGTTGTTACAGCATTCGAAAGAAATCACCAGCTCAGTCTGAGTAGAGTCACTTATGTTATAGGGGTGGATTATGAAATCATATGGTGGTTACGAAACAAGCGGAGACAAAGAGAGGGTGAATGGGTTTCGCCTTGAGCTTATATACATGTGTGACATGAGTGAATACACTGGTGAAAGACCTTAGGAGTTAAAAACCATTGCGGCTAATCTATCGACTATTTCTCACTGATCTAACCACTGGACAGATGTTCCACTCGTTTCGCGATGACCTCATCAGTGATGTATCTGGACGAATTCAACTCAATGACAGTTTATTTTCTCTCTAGAAGTCTCAGATAAAATAGAGGGGAACAGTAAATAAAAGAGTTACAAGAAATAGATCATCAGTATAGTCAGTGTATTGAAGTATCCGATGAATTGATGATGTTCGACAGACTCTTTAATATTTGAAAAGTTGTTAGATTGAAGCAGGTCACATTTGAAACTCAAATGGGGATCCAGTACAGTCTTTTTAGACATACATATACTCAACGCTTTGAAAAAGATGTTATTTATTTTACCACCATTACATGAGAAGTTAAAGCATATCACTAAAGTTAATGAATGATACTATCCAGGTGCTCTAACCTTAGTAGGTGGAGTGGGGTTCGAACCCGTGGCACACCAGTTGAAAGTTAACTTCGCAAAACCGATCAGCCGTAATTCTACATCAAAAGATAAGTCAAAAAGTCACAGGGAGAGAAGAACAATTAGGTCAAAGCAATTAGCTAATTATGAAAGACAAACATGCAGATAAAATCAACATAGAACCTGGCACATGGGTGCATTGACTCAATTTGCCCCGCTTCACAGAAGTATACAAAGAGCGATTGGATAGAAAAAGAGTGATATCGAAGTAGAAAGGTTGTGTGAGAGACCAACCAGTCTGAAGGTAAAAGTTGGTGCAAATATTCAAGTTTTCAAAGACGTCAAGGAGAGCATATATCTAGGCCATTATGATCGATTTCTCAGTGAAGTCACCAGGAGTCAGTCTTCAACCACTCATTCCTATCTCCTGGATGATCCCAGTCAGGTAGTTTTCACATTCCTGCTCAGCTCCAACTAACAGTTAGAGTCAACATGGACTAGTGCCAGGTCTCATTCTGCCCATTCTTAACCTTCTTCCAACCTTGTCCAATTCCTCGAAGCATTTCACATCGAGGTAGGTGGGGGCTAGGCATGAGCGACACATGTTGAAGTCATCCCAGTCGCTGATGCTTCATTGGTTGATTTGCCTTCCTTGAGTAATACTGGTCGTCACTTGTGATGATTACTCTCCATAAGCCCTTACAACCTTTTATTAGCTTTATATACTTGCTCGGTACCTCTTCACAGTGAGACACTACCACAGTACATCACAGTTGATAGAGTGGAAGGCCGACTTCAAGTCAAGAAATGTGATAAGTGTTGACCGTTAACCGTTCAGTGTGACTGTGCTCCTCAACCTGAGTATCCGAGTAGTTATTTACAATAATAGGATGTGAAAAACAGGGTTCGAAGCAGTGCACTTCCTAGGTCACGGAACCAGTTTTCCTGCGCAATGATTATTATTATTATTTGTCCCTTGGGTTCCTAGTGGAACATAGGGCTTCAGTAGCACGTCTCCATTTCACTCTCTTCTCTCCAGTCTTTTGAACCTGCCTCCACAACTGCCCATAACCTTTCATTTCTTCCTCACATAATCTCCTCCATGTCACCCTCGCCTCGGAAGCCCAACTCATTGTTTTCCATTTCGGTTCCACTGGATGGCCTGACCTGACCTGGCCTGGCCTAACTACAATCGGAACAGGTTGGCTAGCTGGCTGGCTGGCTGGATTCAGGAAGTATAAATCATGTGGGGATCAAAATGCAACGCTACTCTATGCATCATCATAGAGTAGAGTATAGAATGGCAGTCAACTCAACTCTACCTCAACTTCATCGACTTCAAAAAGGCCTCTGACAGCGTCAACCGACAAGTAATTTATCAGGCAGTTGCTTCAACACTACGGAATACCGCAAACCTTCATCAGCCTCATTCAACAAGTATATGAAGACTCCATATGAGAAGTAATTCAATTCACAATGTGAAGCTCAGTGATGCATTTGAAATGAAGTGAAGACAGGAGTAAGACAAGACAAGGTTGTCTACTATCACCCATGACATTCCTGATTGTGTTGTGGTCGACTGGATTGGATGATGCAAGAAACAGTGAGGAGTTGTGAGAAGATGGGGTGGGTGATATGCTGGCTGTACTGGGTAAAACAACCTAGAAGATTTGGATTTCGTCAACGATGATGACTTGTGTCTGATGTCTTGTCGCACAAAGGTGGAGATGTACAGGTGAAAACTAACAAGTTGACAGGAGAGGCAGGGCAGAGAGGGAAGAGGGGACTTCAAGTGAATATGGAGAAGACAGAGGTGATGAAGATACCCAACCAACAACAACACCACCAAGGACAACAACAACAACAAGCATCTCGAATCACCATCAACTGGAGAAACTTAAGGGAAGTAGCCTCTTTCACCTACACCTATCTAGACAGCACTGTTTCAACCACAGGTGGCGGCACAGGTACAGGCACAGACGAGGATGTCGAAGCCAGACAGGATCGGAAAGACAGCAATGTAGGCCTTCATTAATCTAAATAATCAGTGTGGAGATCTTCTGCACTCAAGTCAGCATGTGGAACAAGATCTGGATTTTCTACACCAACGTCAAGTCAGTGCTTGTGTATGGCTCAGAGACTCGGCGCGTTACGAAAGGGATTTCCAACAAACTACAGACATTCATCAACAGCTTGTGCCTACGCTGGCTGGTTACTGAAGATCAGATAAGAAGGCGAAAAAGAAATAAGCAACGACGAACTCTGGGGACGAACCAACTAACCAAGAACCTATCGCTGAACAGATATGCAGTGGAAGGAAGTGGAGATGGATTGGGCATACACCGAGAAGGCTACTGTGGAAATCACGCGTCAGGCCAGTGTGTCGAGTGGAAAGCAGATGGGAATCGACGAGTTGGGCGTCCGTGGCGTGGGTGACATGGAGGAGATCGTGTGAGGAGTAAATGAGAGCTTGTATGGTGTCGTGGAGCCAGGTTGAAAGGATTTCCGAGAAGAGAGTGTAATGGAGACGTGCTACTGAACCCCAAGGGACAAATAATAATGATAAATACAGTTGTGGGGCATGGGCGTTAAAAGTATTTGACATGAAGCGTTTACAGAGTCTTGATCACACATGTCTTTGTAACATTGCTCACGTGTTAGCAACGTTGAGGTCAGACAATGGGTTAGGTTGTAGAGCTTCAACGCCTGTGGTGGTTAATATGAAAGATAATCGGAATTAAAATACACTCATCAGCCACATGGACATTCGTATAGTAGGTGATGAGGCCTAGTGATACAACCTGATTAATCACACCTCGGTAGATAGAGTGGTGTTAGAATCCATGGCGCACTGGTTGAAACCTAAACCAATGACCAACCGCCTACTGTAATTTTCAATGCTAGGGGAAATTGGATTAGGTTAGCAGGGAGTTGATGGTGATCAAACTAAAAAGTTGACATCAGCTCATGAAATTGCTGACCATTTGTCCGAGCTATGTTGGCAGATGTAGACCACCTGCTTATGGTCTCCGAGATGATAGAGATCAGTGGTTAAGGAGTCTTGGTGAAATGGCTAAACATCAGTCGGTCACAATGTCACAGATGTATTCAGTATTTGATGTCCTCCAAACCTTGAATATCTTGACCAAGCTTTATTTTTATGTCCCCTCTCCCCTTATACATCTTTGTTTCCTTTGATACGAGTCTTGCATATCCACTCGCTCTCTATATACTGCTATGAAGTATGACAACTTGAAGCAATACAATTGTATGCCTCGTCCTACGTTGATTTTCTCTCTCCCCCTCTCTATCTCTCCCTATATATATATATAAGTCCCTTGGGTTCCTAGTGGAACATAGGGCTTCACTAGCACGTCTCCAGTGACCTCTGTTCTCTGAAATCTTTTGAACCTGGTTCCACGACAGCCCACAAGCTCGCATTTCCTCCTCGCACGACCTCCTCCATGTCACCCTCAACTGGGACGTCCAACTCGTCGCTTCCCATGGGGATTCCACTCTAGCGACTGGCCTAGCCTGACACGTGATGTCCCCAGTCGGCCTTCTCAGTGTATGCCCAATCCATCTCCACTTCCTCCCACTGCATATTTGTTGCGTGATAGGTTCTTGGTTGGTTCGTTGCCAGAGGTCCTTGTTGCTTATTCTTTCTGGCCATTTGGTTTTCAGTAGCATATATATATATATATATATATATATATATATATATATATATATATATATATATATATATATAGACAAATGTATTATGAAATTGTCCTGTAATACGCTATCCCAGTTCTGTCATCGTATTCTTCATCACTTATTAACTGAGATTGACTTGTGAATTTCTGCTGTTGTTTTTCATCTTTTACAGACTTTAGGTTGTCTACTCAGCACTGGTATACTACGTCGTCATCTTATGGTCTGGAAGATATTTGCACCACGTTTAACATTTTCTATTATAAGTTTACTTGTATCAAGTATTTGTCTACCAGTGACTCGTTTCATGGTTGTTCATTGCTTACACAAAAAAATGTGTCAAATTTTACATGTTAGTGACCTTTAAGGTATGTGTGTTTATATCTCCCTTCTAACATCCCCGAATTTTTGTTGTAGTGCCTTATTTTCAAACTTACCCCTGGATAACATATATACTTCGTCCAGGTATAATATATATATGTATATATATATATATATATATATATATATATATATATATGTGTGTGTGTGTGTGGCAGACAGCGTCTCATCTCATATTTTTCGATGACTTCAGTGTTTGTGACTTTTATTCCCTTCCCATGTACAACTGATGATGAAATTTTTTTTCAATGAAATACATTCGAACACAAGAATATTCTTGTTGTATTGTTGTACATTGGAGAATCGATCGCTTTTTCTCATCAAAGGTGTCGTATTTGGCTAGCAGTGTTCCAGACACAGTAGCCCTTAATCAAAATTCTCACCGACAATCAGTAACAAAACAATTCCTGCAATAGTGAGTGTCGCCTTCTGTTGTGAATTATTTTCAAATGTCCAGATTCGACTAGTTTCATCCTTAATAATCAAATGGAATGTGTTTTCTAGTCTCCCAGCTGGACATGAATGAAATCAAGGGAGTGCTTTTCGTCCACTCTGAAACTCACTCATCATCAGCATGTACCTGCCTCATAGTCAGTGATGTTGTTCTCACCCCGACTTGAACTCACGATCGATCGCTCCACCAGACACTCAATGTGCGAAAAGTATAGAATTTGATATGATTGCTTGTAATTTGTCATCGTCGACTAGACTTAATCGATCTGTCTCAGTTGCCATATAGCTTCCAACATGGATCCCTCAATATATCACATGGTATTTCATTTCAGTAGTATTGATGAATACTGGCTAGCAGGAGCATCCACAACGCATGTTCATCTGATGGAATTCAGCTTTCTTCAGTGTATAGCTTGTTTGCTTGTATCAGATGTATCAAGTGGTTTTCATTCATCTCCTAGTGACTAAACCTGCTTGACTTAGACAGATACATAGAACATGTCTCACTTGTTTCGATGCAACTGTATGAGCTAACCACGTTTGATGGTTTAGCAGTGTGCTGTGTAGTTACATCAAAGAGAGAAATTCACTTGACTACTTCCACTAGTGGAAATGGAAGTGAATATGCCTGTTAGGTAGGACATTTGATTTGTATGCTCTTCAAATAAAAATCTTGTCTATATTAAATAGTTTGTGTGTAAAACGACTACTGGAACACTGCTTAATTGATTTGTCTCGTAGAAATCGAAGAATGCCTTTATTATGAATATGAGTTACACTTTATTCAACAGTTTCTCCAATACACTGTGAAACATTCAACCTTTCTAATTACTGAACAAGCATACACAGAGAGAATACTTATTGACTTGTACACTTCAGTACTGTCACCACATGCAGGATACGACGTGAATTACTCTGTGTAGACTTATAACCTTAATCATCACATTGAATACTTATCATCTGTAATGGAATTGCATATCTATCTTTCAAATGTATCCACCTAGTTTCTACTTCATTATGTTCTCTATACAATTTAACTTTATAATTCCACTTACTCATATTATTCATCGATAATCTGCCTTTTTCAATGAAGTTCAAGCATTTTCTTCACATATAGTCTGCATTTGTTTAACAATCTCGGTGTAATAATGATGAAATGGGTTTTATCACTGATAAACAAATTCACTATATGCTGTATGTATCTCACACCTGGATAGTATTGTTGGCGCTCAGTGAGTGAGTGAGTGAGTGATTGGTGTGTCAGCCAGATGAACTGAAACAACCATCAAGTATCTGTGTATATTATTTTCAATAATGCTTATGAATGGAAGGATCAATATATTATTTGTGAGTGGATCCTTTCAACTATGGAGGAATATCAGTTCTATTTACATAAAATATGTTAAACAAACACCAATCTACAATAAGAACATTCTTTTCAATAGATATTCTCATCTCAGGCTGTTTGTACAGTGTGGAACATCAGACTAGGTTTGATGAGGTGAATAAATTTCCGAAATGAAGTATGATGAAGGGACTGTGAGGAAGCTGATTTTTCTTCTTCGATTTGTCAATAAAATATGAAGGTGACACACTCACACAAATGATGAATGTGATAGCTGAGATGAAGACGATGGAAGAGACTTTTAGTTGATTGAAGGTGAAAGGAGTGATAATGTTTGCGTATGTTCTTTCTGAATGCAAATTTCACGTTTGATCAGTCTGATTTCGATGGCCTCAGCTACATTAAGCAAATGTTGTGGAGCTATATATGATGGTGTATTCGGCACACGATGTATGATATTGAAAGCTATATTCGTGTCTATGTGAATTTGGTTTGTTAACCAGGTGGGCTGAGACAGAGCGTTTCACCAACTTCACTTCACCTTTCCCGAACCAAGCCGGTAAATGCTGTCGTATCCAGATGTAACCCTAACATTTCTATGGAACATCGCTTGTGGTGCTGGTCAAATTTGCATCAAAGATGGTAGTTATTCACTTCCACATTTCACCATTATCATAGAGAATCGTCAGTGATGTGAAGTGATGGATAGAATGGCAGACGAAGTTGCCTGCCAATGTGTATGAGAAGAGTCTTTGTTAAAGTGAATTGGTTTGAGAGCATGATTTGTTAATATAAGACACTCACTTGTATGTAAGTGGAAGGAATTGGTCAGTGAAATTCTGAAATCGTCAGATTTGTTGTCTGGAAAAAGCGTAATGTTCAACGTGACAGTGTGAGGATATGGTAGAATGTGATCATGGCTGTCTACTCGAAGCCACACACAGACAGACACACAACTGCGTAAGGGTGTATCGGATGTTGTCTTAAGTGACACCTGTCAGTAGTATTGATGGGTAATGCTGTCTCCCATTCTTCATGTCTAATTTTCTCATAGGCATACTGATGGAGATGAGATAACGTCGAGTACCTCCTAATTTCCTAGGACTGACTTACTTTCTTGAGGTGTGCAGATGTAGAGTTGTGTTTAGGTGAAAATGTTGATAAAGTGAAGAGTGGTGTGAACACTGTGTGATCAGAAATGTGAATATGTGTAGGAAGTTGCTTGCACTTGTGAGAGGTGAGATAAGTGCTTGAGGACTGGTCTACACCAACTGTGAATTCGAGGGTAGTGTGTGCTGACCACTTCACCTAGTTGTTGAGTTTCATCAAGCCGAATTGGTTAATTTCTGCAGAAATTTCAACTTGGATTCTGAAGGTTCATTTGGCATTTATTAACTTGTGTCTTGTCTAGTGTTGAGTGACGAGATATTCTTCTGCATGATGGAGTACAAGCTTACTGTACTGCATTCTACATTGTCCCGTTATGAAGCTATATGACTCTTGCTTCGCAGTGAATCACGGAATTCTGCGCCTATTCATCTTGCTCTTTATGCAAATAAATTACATGATCACAACCTCTCTATAAGATTTTTATAGATGAACCAACCGATTTCATCCACACAACATTAGATAGGGCACAATAATGGATTCCACTCAAAACTCAACTATTTCTGAATAATAGTATTCATAATATATTTTTGCTTTATTCCAAATCATACTTTTGTCTACAGCAGAGAATTCTACATATGACATGAGCATACTTGTTATCCGACGCTTTGTAAATGTATACTGACAATGTAACCAATTAAAAAAAATGAAAAATAGAGATTACCAGGATTGTTGATATGGTTGATAACTTCAACGTCATGATAACTGCTCGTCATTACAAAGTTGATTGATAAGACTATTTCTAACATGATTTTCTGCATACAATATACAATACTGGTAAATAAGGTGGTACAGTTTGATTTTAGAGTGTAGTTGTGCGAGGATAGAGCTTAATATATTTGCTTCTTGTCTTCTTAGAGGACAGACATGGAAAGAGGTGTGAATACTGAGTATATTTGTCATCATATAAAATACTCTGAACCGCCTGTTGATAAGATTTCAGATACCTATCCACAACGCAGCTGCATTTATCAGCATGGTTCTTAGTGTACCACTTGCTCTACTAACAGCCTTCAAAATCCTACGCAATACAGCGTAGTATTTTTTCTAGAGTTCAAGAAAGAATGAGGAGAAACGACAACTAAGTCATAGGCAAAACATGAGAATTCATGAAAAGTGTGAGTATAGGCTGAGTTGTGCCAAACACTCGGAGTTTTCTTATACAAAAGGTCAACCGAAGGATTTCCCTGGAAATCAGTAAGATAGGAGGTGACCAAAAAAGATCAGAAGAAAAGCATAAAACAAGATGAATGAAAGGAAGGAAAGTTACAATCATACAGTGTTACGCTACGCTACACCGTGCACCTACAAACAATGCAGATGAAGAGAAGAAGGAGGAATTCTACAGACAACTACAATCAGTACAAAACAAAACTCCACCTCAGTTGGCCACATCAAATTCATTCTAATCGGTCAGGTGACATATATATATATATATATATATATATATATATATATATATATGCCTGGGATAACACCTAACAGCTATACGGTCTATACTGTCATTACAATAGGCGGAACATGTATAATTTGATGAACACCATTCAGTATTGAAAAATGTAGCTACACCTCCATTATACTTTTCCATTGAACTATACCGATCCTGGCCAAACAACTTGAAACCATTTAAAGAGACTAAATTGTCGTCATATAGATTGTGCAACCAAGTCTTTTGTAAGGTTATTACACTAGCGATAAGATAAATGTAAGAGCATAGAAGGCATTGTAAATAGTCTGCCTTACCTAGTAGAGATCTACAGCCTGAGCTGAATATTTCGGATAATGTCATTTGATGTGGTTCGGTTCGTTCTAAATTGTCCTGCCATCCACCATGATATCTTTTCTTAATTACATTTGTCAAATTCTTAGTGGTAGATTGATAATTTTTAAATTTTCCCAAGAATATTCGATACGATTTACGGTCATATATGAACAGGTTAAAACGGAGTAAACTTGATGCAATGGGATGGAAAGATTTGCTAGCCCAGGATTTCTAAGTCACATATAAATGGTTGATGAAGGGGGCCAATCGACAGCTCTTGAACTCAGCAAACTATAGGATAATATTGTTACCAATTAGGTCATAAGTAGAATGGCTCAAAACAGTTATGTGAGGAGATTCACACTTTCTACTTTTCC